GCTCAGAGAACCCCAAGGACTCCACAGTTCAACCCTGAGCTACACATATTCTCTTCTAGTAGTATCAGACTGTTTGAATGTAACACATAAGAATATAGAGAGAGGCACTACTTAGTATTCCACCCCCGTGAAGTAAGATAACTCAAAGGCTGGCTTTCTCCATGATAATCCGGATGCTTTGGAACATCTGCAGTCTTTCTTCTTGGCCTTCCTCAGTGTCATCAAAATTATTTTATTTAGTGGCCTTTGGAGGGCACATGACCTAAGCTGCCATTGAGGGGCAGTGGCATTTGGGTTATGTTTTATAAACTGCAGAGTAGTTTGACTGGGGAAGTATTTTTTTATTCATTCATTCATTCATTCATTCATTCATTCATTCATTCATTCATTCATTCTATATAGCTGCCCATCTCAGAGCAGTGACATGTACTATAGACATAAGAGCAAAGATAGTCAATCAATGAAACAATCCCAAAGCAAAAATCCATACATGCAACCTGTTTCCTTGAATGGGTTTATGATTTCAATGGGTTGGCTTCCATGTCAATATGCACAGGACTGTTATACTACTTGCTAACAAGCACTTCCAAAGAGGCATAAAATACCTCAAACTGCAGCTCTACAGTTGAAAAGAGAAACAACAGCCTTCCAATGAACAAATTGCTGATGGAATTATTTCTAAAAACAGATACATGCAAAATGGGTGTGTAAATTATCAACCAAAACTGTAGGGGAAAAAATTAACAAATTTCGGTGCTAATTTCAGTTGTTACTTTTACAAATATAACAGGCTACATAAATAACTTCAACTCTCAGACTTCACTTTATTTTACCACAGTTTCATTCAAGGTGATTGTTCTTGCTATACAAAAAATCTAAATTTTGGCCTCTTCCCATTAGAAGACTTAATGAATCAATTTATGAGCATAGTGGAATCATAGAACATAAAACTATAAAAATAAAAAACCAATAGTGTCTAAAACAATGGCATATAATCACAATCTATACTTAGAAATTTGATTTTCATATTTAAAAAAACTAGGTTGAATGTCAGACCCTTTACTTTTATTTAGATGTAGTTATAATATAAATAGCCCTGTACAGTTAACATTTCACAAGAATTTGATATATTCAAAGAAATGCTGAAAACATCAGTTTTAATCTCTGACAGTTCTTTATACTATCAGTATATGAAAAAAGGAAGTCTCTAATGTATGCATGTTTCAAGGTTAAAAGAGCTGTTGGTTTTTATAACACTTCATTAAACATACTGTAGTTAAAGTCTAAGTTTGTAATGTATCTGGTTATGTTTCCTGTCTCAGAGGCTGAATGGGAACATTTCAGAAATCAAAGAAATTGAACAAAACTCATATTTCAGAAGTTCTTCAATATTCCTTTTATGTTTCTACAACATTTTCTCATGCTTGAATTAAAAAAAATAACGATACACTGTTAAAGGTTTCTATTTTTTTAACCAAATTTGTTCTGTCCAAAGTTTTGTTTTTACCTCAAAAGATGTGCTACAACAGCTGGCCCATACCAATCTCCAGCAATTTTGCCAGATGTGTTTCCATATTCTATCAGCCGATGCAAGCCAAAGTTGGCAAGCGGTGAATCACCAAACCAGGAGATTATTCTTCGATGATATTGCTCCTCCATGTTTTCTTCGCTTTCCCAGTTGCGTACTGGATCCTTAGGATGATTTGACTGGTTCCTGAATTCTCTTTCTCCTGTAAGTGATGCTTCAAGAGACGCTGTGAGCTTTTTTACTGTCTGACTTGTCCATGATTCAGACTCTGGATTCTCGAAGACAAATGCATTTGGCCAAGTCCAATCTGGGATAGCATTAAAAACATATAATAGATTTGTTAAAGTTACAGTTTTCTCTGCTATTAACTGATTTAAGAGGATTTCTACCTCTCTGTTGACCTGTTTCATATTCAATATTTAAAGTTAGCTATTTCCATAAGCAAATACTGAATATGGATAATTTAGCAACTATACGATAAGAGTTTCAATTAAATTAAATGCATAAATGTACAATAATGTGGAGCTTAGGTCAGCAGTGTAACAACCACAGAACACCCATTCACCAATAATTATGGTAATTGTCGAATACTTTGGCCTTAAAATTTCGTACTAACCAAGAATTCAGCATTATGTCTAAGAGATAATACTAAGATTTAGTTGAAATTAAATGGTTTATATTTAAATTCTTCCAGAGTAAGCTGTCTATAATGGTTAGAAACTCTGATATGAGAAGCCTCCTCAAATTTAAGATTTATCAAGCATAAATACTTCCTTCCACACAAATCTTGGTAACTTACCTCTACCAAGAAAGTGGAGAATAAGTCCTTGGGCCAGAAGCATTTGGCCAGTCCTCAGAGTACAGCCCCAGCCACAGTCTGTTGTTAAAACTGAACCCTCGATTTGGGGAAATTCTTCTCTGTAAGTCAGCCATATCCTAGAAATAAAATCTTTACGGAACTCTTCAACATTTCTTGAAAACCCTTCTTCTGTAACATCATCACTGGAACCATTTGGTGACTGATCACTGGGCTCTGTAAGAAAGACATCACAAGGGTATATGTTGCAAAATAAGTAAAAACATTAACATATTATCCCAAAATTATTAATACCATACATCCTATTATAAGAAAAGGTCATTTTCTACAATGGTAACTGAAAATAGAATTTGCATATATAGCCACTGGAAGAAAGATAAAGCAAATTGCTTTCAGTAAACAGCAAGGACATGTTCTCTGAGTAGGTTAAATGACCTTGTCAAAAGTTTCTATAATCTTCACTTCAGAAGATAAATCCAGACAAAGCACTGCTTTGAGCTGATATAAAAACAGTATTGCCCCACAATTCTTATATGTGAAAGAACTGTCAAAGCAGCAACAAAGTCTTTTTCCCCTGTTCAGAACAGATTCAGTGGTCACCTTAAGGATCTGTATATGTTTCTGACTTCTTTTCCAGTCTTTCTTCCTTCAAGAAGTGTGCATATATCTGAACTGTTCTAATACTCAAGTATTTTCAGGTGCTCACTTATTAAAAATATTAAAATGCAAGGTTTTGATTACAAAAACAAGTAAGTGTAAGAAACAAAAAACAGTGCTCACTTGGATTTAAAATTAGTTACTATAACACATACCATCACTCTTGAAATGGTAGCACTTTCCCAGCAAAAAGACAGGAGAATTTCTGCTAAAATAAGTTTTAGTTTTCAATACCCAGCCTATAAGCAAAGACAAAAATAGATTTTTAAAGCTTCTCCATCTAGATTGAATAAAACAATTAATCAAGGAAATTAAAAATGTTAAGTTTCCATTTTAATCTGAAACATATTCTAGTGTCTTTTAATAGTATTTGAATTAACTGTATTGCTTTCAATAATAATAATAATATAGTTCAATAATATTTCAGAGTGTGTTGAAATATGTTTACTTGATGTGGGCAGAATGAAGTATCTCTCAGCTTTCAAAATATTATTATTAAGCCTCAAACCAACTTGATTCTCTAAACAAAAGCTTGTATTTTTCATTTTCTAAACCAGAGTCACTTTCTTTTAAAAAATAATTTTACTAAGTTTAAAAAAGTTATAATGAACATTTCTTTAAAGTCATTATATACCAACATGCCATATTATATGAAAACCATATAAGCATATAATAAAAAAGAAAAATAGCCACAGAATTAAAACTGTGCACTCTTTTTACATGCATCATAGAGGTGGGGCATTGATTACACGGGCACAGGCATCATCTTGATTTTTTTTATCCCCATGCCCCTGCCTTAATGACACTAAACAGCTTAAAATTTAAAATATAGGGGGGGAAAAAGATGAGGAGGAAATAAAAACCTTTAAAAAGCAAAGAAATAATAGATGAAAAAGCCCATGGGGGGGAAAAACCTACAACTGAACAACTAAACAAAAATAATCAACCCACACAAAAACACCATTAATAAATATGTCAGACTATTGAAGTGTCCAGGTTATATTTCATTGTTGTTTTTATTTCCTTGTTATGATTCAGTTCTTAAGCAATGTATTAAAACTAGAACATATGTCTGGTCTTGCCTCTTCTTCAATACAAAGCTAATTCAAAGGCTGAAATTTCGTTAAAACAACTTTTACAATCTGGCACATCAGCTTTCTTTCAGGAGTCAGTAGTCACCTTTTGTAACACTCCAAGTTCAATATATCAAAAGTTCTTTATAAATTGAGACATTCCATATTTCTAGCAAATAATTTACTACTTCACTGATATTTTTGTCTTGTAACTGTCTACCAAGTTCCTGGTTCATCATAATAACATCTAACCAATAAAGAATTACAAGTAGGCACACCCATAATATGGGTAGCAAAGTTCCTGAAAATTTATTGCATCTCCAACATAGAAAGGATGACAGCCATCCTTTTAAAAACATTCTTGGATTATGTCCAATAAACCCAGAAAAAATTTTTTTGCTGAAGCCATTCACTACACAATATAGGATACTCCAGTTCTCTACTCCAATTTTTTAATATATTCTCCAAATTTATTTTTGTATTTTTTAAAAATGTATGCTACTAATAAATTGTTGGTTTAATCTCAAGAAAGACATCCTCCAGTACCCTCAGTGCCTCCAGAATTTCAGAGGCTGCAAAAGAATCAGGTCAAACAATGAATACAAAAAGTTTTAAACTGTATATATTAGCCCTCTTTGGTAAATTGTATTTCTTTTGTCAACTCTTAAAAGTTTTAAAGGCATTGTTACATAGTACAGGTAGTCCTCGTTTAGCAACCACAATTGGGACTGGAACTCTGTCACTAAGCAAAGTGGTAGCTAAGTTGGAAATCACATGACTACAACTGTGCTTTCCTTTTCCCCATTCCCCTGCCCTATGGAAAGCTCACCTCCCCAGTCCTGGGATAGCTGGCTTGAAACTGACAAGACTAATCAGTTTCACACCTTCTGCTTTTGTGTGCCTCCTAACCATTCCCCCACCCTTTGGAATGCTCACCCTGGCACTGGGATAATTAACAAGAAGGGAATTAATGTTTGCATTTACATTCATTGGAGAGGAAGGGATTACAAGACAGTAAGCAGACACACAATGGGGAATACACATTGAAAGTAATGTGCTGGCGCCAGCAGCCATGAGCACTCTTAGCAAACAGCTGGTATATTCCCCATTGTGTACTTGCTTACTCTCTTATAATTGCTTCCTCTCCAATCTCTCTGCTCTGCAAGAGGGGAGAAAAAGAAAAACAAGAGGTCAGGCACAGGACAACATGTACTAACTGTTATAGCGATCACATGACTGAGGGATGCTATGAAGGTTGTAAATGAGGGCATTGGTTGTAAAGTTATTTTTTCAGCACTGTCATAACTTCAAACGGTCACTGAATCAGGCAGTCAGTAATCAAGGACTACCTGTAGCTGGTTAAGAGTAATAATTCCCACCCATGTTTTCTGAAAAAGAATATTACCACTATATTTAAATAGGAATTACTCCAAAGTGTCAATTTCTCATGAGAACAAGAATCAAATTTTAAATTTTCCACCCAATAATGAAATATTGTCTGACCGCTTTTAAAAGTAGCCAACTTCTTGCTAGGATTAAACCAAGAAATTATCAGGACTGCAAGAGTGCCAAGTAGTAATTCTCACGATGGTAAATAATCAGTAAAAGCTCTTAATGCTGCATCTGATTTTGAAAGCTTCAGACATGGCCCACAGAGCCCTTCCAAATATCATTTTTATTGCAACCTAAGAGGAGCATTACAAAATACATGTGGACTAATCATATTAACTATAGTATGATTACAGTTACATATTTAAATTTAAATCAAACTTCTTTTTCATCCTGGTTTTACTTACGCTTTGCATAATGCCAAGTGCTGGGTGGCTGGCAGTGTTCTGGTAAATCTGTGCATTCTAACTGATTTTATGTCACGCTTGGCAGCCATTTTGTGAAAACATCCACAATATGGTCCAAAATTCAAAATGTGTTCACCAGCCCCCTAAAGTTGGGGATTCTTGCTCTACTCTAGCTCCCAGGGTTAATTTCAATATGGCAGTAAGCTGTGTTTAATTAAAAGTGGAAATGAAGTATCTTACTCACTTGAAGAATGGCTGCTTATTTGTTCATTCAAAGTTAAATCATGAAGCCTAAAAGATCTGAAATTGGCTACTTTACTCCCTCATTAGCTCTTCTGAGTGAATTCCCTTTTCTTTCTCTTGTTGATGTGTTTCACTTGAACCAACACTAATAACATTAACCAGAGTTAGCAAGCTTCAGTCATTTGAGTAAATATACTAAATATACTAAAGCTAGGCTGCATTATTTTGCTAACCTTTTTAGCAAGGCTATTTATTACATTTCACTTACCATATTTCATATTGTGCCATGCAGATATAAACTTTGATTTTATTTTCTCTACTTCATCTGTCCCAGTGGTCTCCATATTCACATTCATGACGAATAGCCATTACTATCTCAAGGACCTTAGTGATTCTGTTCCTGCAGAAAGAAAGGAGCCCGTTTGGTATAGTGGTTAAGGGGACTGTGAGTACTAGTCCTGCTTTAGGCACAAAGCCAGCTGGGTGACCTTGGGCCAGTCACTTTCTCTCAGCCCTAGGAA